TTCCTTCTGGGTTTTACCCGTGGGCACCCACATCACTGTCCCATCAATGGAGCTCTCAGCGACCGCGGTGGAGCTCTGCAATGGAGAAATTGTGTGGAGACTATGGTTAGGGTTGTCAGACATTGCACTAGGACACGCTCTCCCCTTCCAACATGGAGCTAAAGCTAAGCAGGCATCAGGGTAAGAAAGCAGCAGCCCTGGCAAGAGCTGAGTGCAGAGCAGGCAACACATTACAGATTCTGACAGGTTGAAAGGAGCTGACGTTCACAGTGTGGCTCCGATTTTGGCCATACTGTCTTCTTCCACCCAAGATTCTGAAGGACAGCCTTCCCTGCCACCCCCTGAACTGAACCTCCTGGGAAGAAGCTGGCACCCTAGGGGCAGACCTTTCTGATAAAATTTCAATAGAGAATAAACCAATTCTCAGGCTTTTTAGAAAGTAGGGTGTGGAAATGTTACAGTTAATGCTCAACAAGATCCAATTAGCACTTGCCAGAGTAGACTGATGGTGTTGTAAACCACAACCAAGAAAATGACATCTACCTCCTCCCCCCACCATCCCCCAAGAGTACAAGCAGTGCCATTCTTGGTTTGAACTGGCTAAGGGATTGGAAACAGGTTCAAGCTAGTGTGACTCCTCCCTACTCAGATTTAAACGGGTGATCTGCGTTAGGGAACTGCAGCACGCACCCGGCTAGCCATTCCAATTCGTCTACACTGCACTCTACTTACTGACTTCTAAACACCTTATTCATATTTAATAATGAAGGATTTGTGATTACTTACAATTTCAGACACTGGGATTTGGTACAGTTACATGGCTTTCTAGACTTTGTGTCCCATGAACTAAGAGTTACTCTATAAAGATTAAAAAAGAAAATGTATTCAGATGGTTACCCTTTAATAAGAAGATTAGCTAAAAACTGGTGTTTTTGAACAAACACTAAGAATCTCACACCAGCCAATTATAGGTATTATCTACAGGTGTCTAATTACGAAAATGGCATGCCATTATGTGCCTGCTGACCTGGGCAGGGGGAGGGGGTGTTACTATCACTTTCACACTCCTAGAATGCTCCCTGGAGTTTCTCCCCTATTTAAATCCTTGTTCTGTATGCCTCCCATAAACAGCCTCCCCCCACCAAATCAGAACACTGGGAAGTATGCCTCAGAGAACAGCAGATAAGCCTAGGTCACTGCGGTTTATCAGTGGTAAAGCTGCTGCACTGTAGCTTACCAACAGTATCAAAGTGTGTGAGTGTTTGAGTAGTCTTGGTAACCGCTCTCATTTTAGGAAGGGATTTCTATAACTGCCCCCTAACTGCAATGTGGGTGGGTAGACCAGCCTGGCGGTGGTCTTCAGGGATGAGGGGAAACAATGCCTCCTCTGGTGTCTCTGGATACTGCTAACTACAGCCATGGCAGCTTCCCAAGCACTCTGCAGAAGTACTGCTCGCTTGGTAACAGAAACAGCGATGCTCTGGGGGCGGGGAGGAGTTGTGATGAAAAGGAGGTCACAGGAAGAGAAGCCCAGGTGGTGCTGGGCAAAGCGCCCCTAAGAGTATGCCGCAGGCTTCACCTATGCAGGGCCTGGCCACCTCCGGACATGGACTCCTTAGGTCTGAGGATTCTACAAGAACTAGACCAGCACCTGGCACATGAATGCATGCTGTTTGCTGTGCGGTTGTAATTCCTGCAAAGCCTCTGCCTGTCTTCCATCCTTGGGCCCCTACAGTCCACGCTTGTCTCCATGAAGCCTACCACTCTCCTCCTCATGGCTCCGCCCCACCATGGACTCCACCTGTGCAAGCCTTTCATCTACCATCCCTGTCTTAGTCTGTGCCTGTTTAATCTGTCTCTGTCTCTTTCACATGGCGTGCATGCGCCTGCACACACATATCCACCCAGACATAAACAGTGAGGTATTGATACATGAGCAGACTTGTTAGTGGTTACTTCTGGGGATAATTCCCATTTTCAAGATTATGTCTGTAAATAGACGTATCCCTCTAAATTGGTTTTATGTCCTCATGGGTGCTGGAGGCAGCGGGCCTGCATTTGCACATGTGAGGCAGACCTGGGCCTGTTCCAGAGAGGCTCTAAAACTGCCCTCAGCCCTCTCAGACCTGTCCTAAGCTGGGCTTCCGATGCAAAGGAAGCAAAGCCCTTCTTTGAGAATCCAGGTCTAGCTATGGGGAGGCTCTGCGCCTGCTGACAGGGAGGACCCTGGGAGCATCTGCAGGGGCAGGAGAACCAGGATTCTTTGACTAAGAGACAACTTGTGGCCAGGATGTGATAAATGCTTCAGAGGATAGCAGAAATAATATCTTCTACACTCAGAGCATCTATCTTGAAAGAGGCTCTTAATAATGGGGGCATGAGACATATACGATTGAAAAGTAGGAGAACATAAGCCGGGCGCTGGTGGCTCACGCCTGTAATCCTAGCTACTCAGGAGGCTGAGATCTGAGGATCGAGGGTTCAAAGCCAGCCCGGGCAGGAAAGACCGTGAGACTCCTATCTCCAATAAACAACCAGAAAACTGGAAGTGGCGCTGCTCAAGTGGTAGAGCGCTTGCCTTGAGCTGAAGAGCTGAGGGACAGCGCCCAGGCCCAGAGTTCAAGCCCCACGACCGACAAAAAAAAAGAAAAGTAGGAGAACATAACGTAGGATATGATCCACTGTCAAACTGGTTTCTGAGAACTATAACTTAAATGATGTTCAGAGACAGGAAGTTGAACACAATGAAAGTGGTTAAAGAGAACTGCTGTGGAAAGAGGTGGACTTCGATGCTAATGTCTACAGTTGTGGGCCTGGTTGCTGGTAGTTACAAGGACGTGTGAACAGAGATGTAACATGGAGAAGGAACAGAGAACACGAAGCTCGGGCAGGGGACCTGTGGACTGCAGTGGAAATTAGGTGGCAAAAACTTGCATGCTCTAAAGAACTTGATTATCCTGTAAGTGTTAAGCTAAAAATTAAAGAGTAGAAGGATTAATCAAGACCTTGAAAACCCTGCCTCAGAGCAGCATTATAAATAAATTATACTAAGGCAAGATATAAGCTCATCTTTAAAGAAAAAACAATCCAGAGACTTGGGCTCGTCTTCTTTATTATGATATTCAGTACGTTACCCAAAGTAATAGTATCAACCACACATCATGATTCATGCTCATTATCTGACTGATAATCAGAGCAATAGGAAATGAATTTTTATTCCAAGAGGTTTTAGTAAAATGATGATACATGGTTAATAACTTAGCCAGTGGCCACACAACTCTGAGAATGAGTGGGTCAACCCATACGGTTCACCATAAGGCCCAACCAAGCTGCTGCTGTGTTATCTAATAGCTTAGATATGCTGGAACCATTCCTAATTGATAGTTTCCTTTCTGGTAGATGTAGTTTGACCCTGTTATCTTGTAGAAGTCTGACACGGGCTAAAGAAGCATTATGAAAAGGAGGTCATTTGCTAAGCACTCCTGATTAGAAACTCCTAGGAATGAAACAAAGCCACTCAACATTCTCTGGCTGCCTCTTCTTACGGGTCACATCCTGGCAGTGGTTCCAGTATGCTATCAGTATTAGGGATGTTGAGATTCAGTAGTGGGATGGTGACTCAAGTATTTGGTCCCAGCAAAATTATACAAACACAAAACTATGTTGTTCCTGACACATTTTGTAAAAGGCCCAGAACTACTTAAAAATAAAAATATGTGAAAAGTAGTCGGGGATAAAAGAAACAATATGCTGCCAAGGAAAGAGTTCCTTTGTGGAAATGCACATTAACTGCGATATGGCTAAGCTTCAGCGGGCACAGCGTGAGAGCACTAAGTTCCCTTGAATGTTCTAGACACGATGAAGCACGTGGCGGTACGGCACAGATGACCACATGGCCCAGATTACAAGGACGTCACAAGGAGCATCGCGCCGTCCTGACACCTCAGACCACTCTGCAGCCAGACACACAGCACCAACAGCGGGGTGCTTAGGACGCCATCGGTTTAGGACACCCTTGTCTCACCCAGAAACGCTAACAAGCACAATGAGATGACATCTATGATGACCTCATAGCAACTAGAGTGTCCCAGTCGTGACGCTAAAGTGAAGCAAATATGGCTCTGCATTCTCATCCCAGCTCATTCATTCAAAGTCCTCAGACACAGCACTGTGCCAGCTGAAAGAACCAGGTCCCAGCGATACCAGAGGCCATAGTGTGGACTCAACTCCTGTCTGACTCCAGAGCCCTAGAGCCCCAGAGTCCTGTGGATGACTGTTGGCTCACTTGTTCCAGCCCCTGATGCACCTAGCCTCACACCGAACATGGCCAGGACAGGGTACTAGGGGCCCTCAGGTCACATTTCACAAGAGCTTGTCTGGTCTCTCTCTTCACACCAGCATCGACTGTGGCCCAACTCATCTCTACAGGCCAACACTGTACATGAACATGAACATGAACACAGCAGTGCTCCAACCAGTGTGGTTAGTTTAATTAGTTACATAAAGTTATAAATACAACTCTGAAATGGCAAGGCAAGGTCCTGGCTGAGTGCAGCCCATGTTCACCTGGAGGTTACGAGAACAGACTTAGCAGCGACCCTGCCACAGAGCGGGTGCTGACTCTCAGCACAGAAGGGATTGGGTAGAAGCAGCTCTGGAGACTCCACATTAAGCAGCTGGTGCTGCATAACTTGCATTGATGACCACAAAAAATGGAACAGACCAGCACTGCTGGAATCCACATGAAACCAAGACACAGCTAGAAGTGGCCACCAGCCCTGAACCACCGGCCCAGGACAGCAGGTACAGATTGGCCTTTCAGCTGCCAACATACAGGCAGGTCGCTTGCCAGCAACACTGCTCAGGGGAAATTAACCTTTCTGGATCAAGGAAGATTTACAGGTGAGGTTAATTCTACAGTACAGAAAGAAATCCCAAGTACACAAAAGCAACTTAGCCTCTTTAAAAAAAAGTCACAATTGATTGCATTTAATCCTTACCCAGCCAAAGTTATTTTGGGTGGTCCTGGCAGGGTTGGTCCTGAGGGGAAAGCAGGCCCACTGACTCCTGAAGGAAGGGCGCCATTATCGAGCTGTACAAAGCCAAAGGCAAACATGTTTTCTATTAGCATGCTTCAAGGGCCAGCCAATCCCAATGTAGAGTTAAAATGATTCTTTTTCATCTAGAGGTTTATGCCATAATCCTTTATAACCAGCTCCGTTCTTGATGGCACTACAAATGCACTAACGTGTGAGCACACAACCCTAGATGGTCTCACAGACCTTTCTGGCTACAGGCCTCAGGAACTGCAGTCACCTTGTCCTCCTCCATTCCAGGCCCTCAGCCCATGTGCCATACAATTTGTCAACTGCACTAAAATGTAACCTCTGCAGGTCAAGGGCATTCTGTTTTGTTTGGGGGTCACTTGGCTTACTGATACCTCAGACAGGCCTGCCCTGTGGCAGAGTGTGGGAATGCCCTATGTGCCAAGGACTTGCACCAAGTGTAGCTTACAGAGGTAGGAAAGACCCACCTAAAGAGGTAGGAAGTGCGGAAACTGCGCTTCCACACAGCCTGCATTCTTTTTTTTTTTTTTTTTGTCCGGTCGTGGGGCCTGAGCTCTGGGCCTGGGCGCTGTCCCTCAGCTCTTCAGCTCAAGGCTAGCGCTCTACCACTTGAGCTACAGCGCCACTTCCAGTTTTCTGGCGGTTTATTGAAGATTAGAGTTTCATGGACTTTCCTGCCCTTGCTGGCTTTGAACCGCGATCCTCAGATCTCATCCTCCTGAGATCTCAGCCACCAGTGCCCGGCACAGCCTGCATTCTTATGGGCAGATGCAGACAAATCAACCAAAAAACATAAGGTACCAACAGTGCATGCTAAACTTGAGGCAGGTACCATGACAGTAACTGGCTGTCACACTTTCTTAGAGAGGTGACACGGCATATTCATCTTCTAGTGGAACATACTCTAGGCCTACAATGATGTAATGATAAAAGCAAACTTTAAAAACACATGTCCAGCCAGGCACTGGTGGTTCATGCCTGCAATCCTAGCTATTCAGGAGGCTGAGATCTGAGGATTGCAGTTCAAAGCCAGTCTGGGCAGAAAAATCACTGTGAGACTCTTATTTCCAATTAGCCACTCAAAAACTCAGAAGTGTCACTGTGGCTCTAAGTGGTAGAGCACTAACCTTGAGCACAGAGGCTCAGGGACAGTGCCCAGGCCCTGAGTTCAAGCCCCATGACCAATAAAAACAAACAATCAAACAGATGCTCAGGTTAGGCACTGGTGTCTCCCACCTGTAATCCTAGCTATTCAGGAGGCTGAGATCTGAGGACCATATCAAAGACATCCTAGGCAGGAAATTCCAAGAGTCTCTTATCTCTAAGCACCAGAAAACTGGAAGTGGAGCTGTGGCTCAAATGGTAGAGTGCCAGCCTTGAGTGAAAAAGCTAAGGGACAGTGAGTTCAAACCTCAGTACTGGTGTGTGCACACAAAAATGCATGTGCAAAACACTGGGGAGGTGACTGTAGCTCAAGCACAAGCACAAGGCCAGCAGTGGGCAGGCAGAGACCTGGAGACCAAAGGAAAGGTAACACGGACCATATGTGGTCGAGATGCGCAGCTACCATGACGAGTCCAGCACAGGGATGAACGAGCCCAGTGCAGGATGCATTTTTTACTGTTGAATTTTTTTTTTTTGGTCAGTCTTGGAGGCTGAACTCTGGGCCTGGGCGCTGTCCCTCAGCTCTTCAGCTCAAGGCGAGCGCTCTACCACTTGAGCCACAGCACCACTTCCGGCTTTTTTTTCTGCTTTTGTGGTGCTGAGGAATCGAACCCAGGGCCTCATGCATGCGAGACAAGCGCTCTACCACTGAGCCACCTTCCCAGCCCCTACTGCTGACTTTTAGCTAGAGGATGATTAAGAATGTTCTTGAGTTATTCCAACTGCAACAATTGAAATTTCAAGAAACACTAATATAGTTTTATATTTAAACAATGACTCACTTGTTGTGTAATGAGATTTAATTTTGCTGGTAGTGGCAAAAATCTTCCTACCAAAGCAGTCATTGGCTTAGGGACATCTGTAAGGAAGACAGTTAAAGTTATTGATAGCAGATATTCCTTCTCTTCCATACACATGTGAAAGAAAGTATAGCAGCTTACTATAGATTTATCATGTACAGAGTTATTCAAGCATTATAGTTCTATTTTTTTTTTATTTCTAAAACCTCTCAGGTCAGTGTGTTTTTATGTTGTTCTTTCAGCACAAAGCTATTTGACCTGAGCTTCCACAGGAGTCTGCTATGCTAAAAAATACTATTAGTACCTATATTTCCAAATTGTGTACTAAGGTGCCCTTTGAAGGCCACAAAAATTCACCAAGACCCTAGTGGGTCCTGGGCATTATATATATTTTTTTGGGGGGTCCAGTGGTGGGGCCTGAACTCTGGGCCTGGGTGCTGTCCCTCAGCTCTTCAGCTCAAGGCTAGCACTCTACCACTTGAGCCACAGCACCACTTCCGGCTTTTTTCTTTTTGATTATGTGGTGCTGGGGAATCGAACCCAGGGCCTCAGGCATGCAAGGCAAGCGCTCTACCACTGAGCCACCTTCCCAGCCTGCATTTTATATTTTTAAAGAAAGCCCAGTGACAGCTGTTGGACACTATGTGAACTACTTTCAACTCATGTGCCTGCTTTTCTTGGAATAGATTCTAAGTTGTGGGGATTTACTTACTAAACTACTTGGACCAAACTATGGGCTCTGTGAAGTCCTGAGATACTAACAGTGCTGTAGACCTCATGCTCCTGAGTCCAGGAGGAAAGAAAGGTGTTCTCCTCTCTTTTACTTTCATTCTAAGCAAAAGCCAAACATATTCACTCACCAATTAACACATGATAAATGGTAACTTTCATTCATTATTCCATACCTGACTGTAGATAATTATTTTGATCTTGATACTGAGGAACCAGATGAAGTGCTTTCAGCTCTCTGGTGCCAGCGTTGTCAATACACAGCATTTGGGTGCCCCCTTTCAGCTGACAAATCACCTAAAATGAAATCAACAATCAGGTTTCATCAGTCAAGAAATGTGAACTTACATAAATGAATGCCTGAGAAACAAGTTCTAATGCAGGACTTACGTCTGACGGTAAGAAAGAAAACTACAGCTTTGTTCTTGATTTCTTCTTCTGTAATAACATTAACTGCTCCCTAAAAATCCTCCAACAGTGTTTCCTTCCACAGGCTAATAGAAGTTCCTTCTCCTGTCTTCCTCCACAGTGATCTGACTACTGAGACTTAGTTCAAGGACCAGCTGGCATTCAAGAGCTTCTCTGTCCTGTCCTTCACTCCTCTGCTCACATTAACAGACAACCCAAATTTAGGAGGGAGAGCTCATTTCAAGAACTTCCTGAGCATCACCTCTGCCTTAGAGCCAGCATCTCATTCTCTAAATGAAGAAGTGTGGGAGGGTTAGATAATGATGGCTCCAACTTGTAATCTTAGCTATTCAGGATGCTGAGAACTGAGGATTGCAGTTCAAAACCAGCCTGGGCAGGGAAGTCTTGAGCCTCTTATCTTTTAAGTAACCAGCAAAAGCCAGAAGTGGAGCTATGGCTGAAGTGGTAGAGTGCCAGTCTTGAGCCAAAAGCTCAAGGACAGTGCCCAGACCCAAGACTGAAACAAAGCAAAGAAAGGGAGTGAGAGGAAAGGTGCTCACTGGCCGTGTGGACTTCTAACACTTTGCTACAGAGTATGGAGGGGATTCCCTGACAGTTCAGGCCTAGACCTCACTGCAGTGACTCTGGTGCTCTGCACACACCACTTAGAACGAAGAAGACAAACGCAGGCAAGGTCACATTTCTGTTGCTTTGGCTCATGAAATGGGGATAAAAGTTAATGCCTGCCCTAGGGTTGCTAGGAGGGTGAAATGACGTACATAGTTGTGAACATATATACCCTCAGAGGTACCTATATGTTAGCTACTGGTAAAAGAACTCCAGAGGCATGAAGGGAGAATGGGGCTTCTGTCCAGAAGCCAGCAAACCACACAATGTAGACTAATATGACTTGTGGTTACTCTCCTTAAGTTCAGTAGAGCTCTAAACCTCTCCCAACTTGCTACGGCTGAATGGAAATAGAACCTTAGGGGTGAAAAGCACCAGATAACAACCCAAGTGTGACCCAACAAGGAAGTCAATGAGAGGCAGCAAGTGGCTACTGGCAGGCTTGGTTACCATCGGGCTGGAATCCTTCTTGCGAGAGCAGCTGGAGGTGTCCTCTGCTTCCTGGGATGAAGGGAACTTGCAGCAGGATTCCTGAGCCAGAGGGTTCTGAAAAGCTGCCTCCTCTGGGTTGTTACTTGCAACAGTGCCACCAGCTTCCTTTATTTCAACCTGAAAGGCACAAAGCAGTGATTGTTTCAGAGGATACCTAGACATTGTCTTTTGCAGCTGCATAGCCCAGAAAATTCAAATTTGAGTGTTGTGTCCAAATTTTAAAAAAGTGGAGCTATGGCTCAAGTGGTAGAGTGCCAACCTTGAGTGAAAACTCTCAGGGATAGTGACCAGGCTCTGAGTTCAAGTCCTCTGCCCTGGGATGAGGTTGGAGGAGGCCGCACCTTTGTCCAACTTTCCCAGTACACTAAAGAGTAGTGATCGGGATTTTAGCAGATGAAAAAGTCCCAATCTCTCAGCTTTTCTGGTTTTCAAGCCCCAAGCCTCTAAGCACCAACTCAAAAATTTCCCACAAAGTCTTATGCCAAAAGCTTATGGAAACACTTGAATGGATGAAGAATCTAAATCCCCATTCTTCTGGGGATCCTTTAGGAGGACCAATTTACATTTTTCTTTTTGCTTTCCTTTCAGTGGGGCTAACTGGAAAGCAGAAAGTGCTTGGTGGCTACCCAAGGCGACCATCTATCCAGCTGACCACTCTCCCATAAGCGCCTGTCACCAGCAGCCAGGACCCCAATACCGCCACACCAGGGCAGGGGCAAATCCCAGGACTCACTCGGAGCCCCACCAGGGCGGGGCAGGGCAGGGTGCTTGCCTGGCATGCCTGAGGCCCGGGTCCCCCCCCTCCTCCCTGCCCCCCAGCGTGGGATGGAAGGCACCAGAATCCAAACCTGACACACATCTGACCTCCGGCAGGGCCAGCTCTGCGCCTGAGCCCCGTGGCTCGCAGGGGGCAGGGGGGGACGAGGCCGCCCTGCCGTCTAGGGGTCCCCGCACCCCTGTGTGGGAGGCGGCTCTTACCGGGATCACGCGCACGCCGGCGGCCAGCGGCAGCAGCGCGGGG